AACAGATGTTTGTGACTTATTGTTATGAAGCTTGAAAAGATGGTACTTGATGCTACCTGTGCAAGCCTTCCTTTTTTCAAGTGTGCATTATTCTATTTATAGTTATTTCCAGTGCTAGATGTCTTGTACAAATCTCCTGCAGTTGAACTTCTTCAAAAGCTTTGTAGATAGCATTTAAGTCTTGTAATTATCTAAAAAATTTTTATTCAGTATTTTTACTAATCTATAAAGTAATTTTTTTTACACAGCTCTTTCTAGCACTTAGCTTTGACTTTGTTAGTTGAATAAGTTTTTTGTTTGATTAATTCACCCGATGCTTTTTCATTTTCATTGTCTTGTTGGCGGTAGGCATAATCCAGTTACTAGATCTTCTCACTCGTAATCTGGGCAAATAAGTCTGCAACGATCTAGGTATGTTATTATAGCGCGCACGTTTCACAAATTCGTTTGACAACAGCCCTTAAATAACAGAGAAAAATTTTTTAGGGAAGCTTGTGATAAAGACGGAAACTTGGTTTCAACGACAAGACGAACAGACAAGCTTGAGTCAACTAAAATAACTTCCACTTGCAAAGCAACTTATGAACGTAAATATCGCATCGCAGGTGCACTGCTAAAAATGTCCCACCCTGGCCAGGTTCAATACCCAAACCCCCTCCCCTGGGAACAGATGACTGTCAAATTCGCCAGAGGGGATGTTGAATCTTCGAATCGATCAGTGCATAACATCCTCAACAGAGTATCGCGTGAAATAACGTGCAAGAGCCTTCTAAGCCTGTTATTATCATATTATCAAAGTCACATGGGCGGAAAAAAAATTGTAGGCCCTTACTTACTGGTTACACCACTGACTTGCTATGATGACTAGCAAAAGTAGTTGGAACGCTTCCCCCCTAACTGGGTGCTTGACAACCCTCTACGAAACACAATAAACAATAATCTTTTAATTCATCTCTACTAAGTTACTTGCAAGTTCCCCCCTTCCCGTGAACAATTTCGCCTGATATTGTGACCATTTTGTAACAAAAGGCAACACTGAAATGTGGGCGAGGTGAAGATGAGTGAAAGTTATAGGAGAAATTCGAAAAATAGTGGAGCATGCCAAGATTATTGTGCTACTCATTGTAGGTTAGTTTGATATATATAGTTGTAGCTCTCTGTGTGTTATCTTTTTATCCGCTAAAATAAAGATGTAACTTGTAGATCTTTATTATTTCTGTCTTTGATCAAACAATAAAACTTATAACTCGGAGGTACTCAGTAACACACTTATCATGCATTAATGCTGTAGTACACCAGCGCACGTTTTTTCCAATTTGAAATCCAACCAACTAGATTCAAATGCAACCAACATTACTTTTAGTTTTTAGATCCCCCGTGGCACCGTTTGTATTCTCCCCTCTCTCAAAAAGCAAAACTTCATGGAACTAAAACACAGTCGGTAAAGCGTATTATGCAGGAGACGTAACTCCTTGACTGAAATCAGTTTTCTGCTACCAAATTTATGCGCTAGAAGTGTTCCTTTGATGTATGGATCTCACTTATGAGAAATTTGTCTTTTAAATTTGACTACAATTTCTTCGACACTTAAACAAATCAAACATTTCCCTCCCGCGGTTGCGATACAATATCAAACTAGAAATTAGGAAAATCGTGGTCTACGGTTTGTAGTTATTGTGGAAAGCAAGATACAGCTCTTGAACAATTCTAGGGTTTTTAAGCAACGTTGAGGAACGGGTGAGCTTGGAGAAATTAGTAGGCCTGGGAACCACAGCCTGTTCCTTCTGTAACCATTCCTCTCTCATTTATTAATTGTAATACATAGGTTTCGGTTTTGTACTAATATTTGGCGCCTTTTTCGGTTTCCTCCTTGCACTGATCTGACGGTGACCATGAGTACTCTAGCGGAAATCGTTGAACTAGATGGAGAGATTCTAAGTGAAAAATTCGGCCTTGAACCCCGTTTCTGTTGCAGCCCAAACGAAAGCGACAATTTATTGCACCTATCGCCGATTATCCTCTTGGAGGATTTAGAGTTGAGAGATGGCGGATTCAAGGATACAAGTGCGAAAGATGTATTGAGTCGAGTGGCAAAACACATTTGCGACTCAAAAGATCCATCTTTGTTTCAAATCCCGGAAATACCCGCCTTTCACATGGGGTACGCTAAAAGATCCGAGAACAAAAAGAGAAACATGGCTATCGGTCACGAAGAAGCTAAAATTTGGATGTCATATCTGAACCTGTCGCGTTTTAATCAAGATTCTGAAGGTGAAGAGTCACACGAGCCAACTTCATCCGACGAAGAAATGGATATTGACCCACCAACAGCACAAGATACACCAAATCAAGATGACAAGGATTTGGTCTGCCCGCATAATAGCGGACTAAAATTTCCCTTGAAAGGATCGCACATTCTTTTGTTTTCAATCCTTCTGATTTTCTATGACAAGAAGAAAAAGAAGGCAAATTCTACCAGATCAAATGAAGACGAACCAAAGATTGGGGCGAACAAGGTCTCTGATTTCCTACTCTTTTGGATTATACCCTATTTACTTAGTTATACCCAGAAGAAAGTACGAGAGATCGTGAAGCACCATCAAGCACACAATCGGCGCGAGTTTCGGTCAACTTGCAAAAAGTCCAGTTTTGATGTCATCAAGGAAGCAATGTCTACTTGTGGATTTCCAGCTGAACTTAAAACAACTATTTTATCGAAGTACAAAGATTTTTATGGAACGGAACAGCTAGAATATGAGTACGATTTGCTGAAAAGTCCCGAAAACACGCCAGTGATTTTAGTTCCAAAGCGTTACAAGGTCACGCAAATGCCAGTAGAACTTGAAGATATTGGAAACAACTGGCGTGAGCTTGGTGATATAACACTAACAAGACTTTTTGTAAGTAAATTTATCAGAAACAGGGATATTCAAAGAGATTTCTTCTATTCGTTTCCACTATTGACAAATCGACAGGGTGTCGACTATGCGATTATCCTGCCTGATGAGGAAACATTTCTTGAGGTAATACGTGACCTCGAGGAAACAAGTCGTGATATCTTTATCCCTCCAGACGTTTATCCCAAAGGAGGCCGTGACATCATCGTGCCAAGCATTGGGTTGGTTACCACCAGAGACAAACATCTAAGTGTTTGCTTTTCCTACTTTCAAGGTAAGATTGCAGTTTCTCATTGCAAACTTTTTACTGTTTTGGTCCTTATTTTATTGTCTTTTAAAGAAAATTACCTTCTCTTGTCAATCTCACATTTGGACAGCTGCACTAGCAATGCCAGGGCATCAACACGTGTGTCACATGAGATTAAACAAATAATGGTATTGATCAATATTGTCTGAAAATGCCATATAAAATCAGAAGTTTCGGTTGGTATTTAGTTTTTCATCTTATTGTATACTACTTCACTTGTCTGACTTTTAACCCAATGGAGGCCTTCCATAAAATACTTGTCATTCAGCCTTCTCAAAATTGTTTTATTGAGTTGGAAAATTTTATTGAAGAGTAGGCTAAGTTGGTATGAAGGGTGCCATCCCTCCCCCCCATCCTCATGATATATTTTAAATATGCATCAAGGAGATGCATTGTGGTGCATTCTAAGGTTTGCAGTGGGAAAACACTTTTTTTCATCAACTCACAACATAAATACCTCAAATTTTTAAGGAAATGACCAGAGGATATGCAGAAAATGGGTGGAATGATGTTAATAGTGGAGAAATCATTCTGGGAAGTTGGGCTGTGATAAATACATTAACATCAGTAGTCCTTTAATTCATTTCGCATCTTCATTTCAAAGTGAAGCCTTTTCTTTTATTATGAAATTCTAGCTCTCCACCCTCTCAAGGCTCATGCTAAAAATTGCATCGACCTCTTGTTATTTGGTTCAACACAGGTCATTTATTCTGGGGTAAAAGCTAGTTGTTCTAACAACAAGGAATCTGATAATGAGATTTGGAATTTCTAATGAAATTTATTTACCGTATTTATTCGCCTATAAGCCGAGCGATTTTTCCAACAAATTAAACTGAGAACAGGTAAATTCTCGCCAAGGTAGGGGGTTCGGCTTATAGACGAGTATTTTCGCCAAAAAATTTACGGGTGCTTAACAAGATTCGAAATTCAATGTTTATTCGACTATAAGCCGAGCGATTATCAACAAACACAAATTTCCGAGATCGCGAAAGGTAGGTACATGCAAATCATTGTTGGTCATTGACTTTAATTTATGCGGTGGCTCCTAAAGGAGCCGTTTTGTTTGTGAAGTTGAAGTTTGTGACATTGAAGTTTTAGTCATCGTCGTCTTTTTCGCTGTCAGTCTCAAACTCATCCTCCATCCTTGAAGTCTGGATCACTGCTCAACTCTTTCGCTTTTCACCGTAGAATTAATCCGCTTACAGCAATTCCTGTAAAACATAACAGAGATTAATTGTTTGACTTGTTTTGACAACATGAAAAACTGGCCAATCAGAAGCGGTCATTCCCACGGTTTGTGTAAACATTGCAACACGATCTGACAGATATCAGCTGATCGAAGCTTTTCATTGTTTTAAAGAAACGAAAGACTTACCTTGACTCCTCTGCTCTGAAAACCAGTCCAGTAGTGTTTGATCCAATTCAGGATACTTTGGCGAAAAGCAGCCCATCGTCTTTCGCTTTGCTGACATTTTAAGCTCACTGATTCCGTAATCTCTAGCGATCTCGGAGTTGTTCTCGACGGCCTCTGCTTCAGCAACGACTTTTAGTTTGAACGCTAAGTTGTATGAAGAACGACGAACTTTCGGCATGATGATCGATTACGATAACTTTGAAAGAGAGCGATTGTTTGAGCCAGGATTCTGAACTCAGGTGAATGTTTTGTTATGTCACGCATGGTTCTATTTATTTACATTAAATTCAACTTTTCTTTGATTTGTTGTTACTTTCAATTAAACGACCAATAACAACTGAGTAAATTGGACTTAATGAATATGTTTATTCATAACCTACTTTTTGGTTGCATGTTTCCCGAGAGGGAAGCTCCTTTTGTTTTCGGTTTATGTTAATTCATCTCAGTTAACGACACGCGTGGAGTACTTTGCAATTATTAGGTCTCGGCTTATAGCCGAATGTTTTGTGTTTATTTTTTATTTCAATGCAACAGCTGCTGACATGAAAAAGTTTAGGGTCTCGGCTTATAGCCGAGATCGGCTTATAGGCGAATAAATACGGGTAATTACAAAATGTATCAGATTCCTCCATGGGATAGAAGAACTCTTGAAATTTGCCTTGCTCCTAATGTATAGCTTTGTAGCTCAGTTGATAGTGGCACCCAATAGCATCTGGGGAGCACAGGTTTGAATGCCATCAAACCCAAAATATTTCTCAGGCTTTCTTTCTGCAATTGCTAAAATTCCAGCTCATGCATCTGCAAGAATCATTGCTTTATTTGATTTTCAGTCTGCTCATGTATGAAGGTCAAATGAAATATATATCTGAATAATTTATTACAAATTGATGGTCTGTGCTTGATTGCTTTTAGGGACAGGGGGAGGGAAAGTGGCTGCCTTGTTCAGGGCCATTGGTGCTCATTACCACGATCACTTTTCTCTGGTAATCTTGCCTGGGTTGTGCAAAAATGATCGGGATCCTGACTGCAAGGTTGGCAGCCTCTATCCTGTGAGTGGTATCAGGATGGTCACTTTCAAAGGCAAATATCCTGAGCTGGTCAAGAAAACTTCCTTTTCAGCCAGTCAAGGTAAATTCTGTCTTGCCGAGTTTCCAGAAACATACAAGTTATGGCAACAAGAGGTCAAAAACAATGATTCAGTAATGAAACTGATGACCGCAACAAAGAGAGGTTTGCAAGTGGACCCCAAATATGAACAGAATGTACCTCTTGTTGTTGAATACAGCAAGAAATGCCATGGACAGAGGCTAAAGAGTGTGCCATTTGGAGCTACTACTGCAACCAGTAACAAATCTGTAAGAAAATACATGTTCAGAGCAGTAAATCTAAATGGATGTTTACTTAACAACCTGGAGAAAAGTGGGCGTAGAGGTAACACTGCAGTTGTCCTTTACATAGAAGATACCTGTGGAAATTTTGGCAGTTGTTTGCCAGCTTTATCGAAGGCCATCCAAGTCATAAAAGTAAATTTTGTGAGGGCAGTTGTTGCTGCTGGCCTTCCTAAAGGTGAAAGCTTTTTTTGTATAATTTATACCATGAATCTGTTAGCTCTTCCTATTCTAGATATTTGTTGAATTGATATCCATTTCATGATGCAGTGTTTGTTTTTACAAATTGTAAAATGCAATCCCTAATACTGAATAAATTTCACGCAAATTAAACTAAACCTAACATTGATACAATGAATAAAATGTAATATATGCATGTGTGTATATATATATATATATATATATATATATATATATATATATACGTGAAAGAATTAAAGAGGACGCATTGATTCTGTTACTCTGAGTTTTGTGCCTAAGCGTTTGTCAGACAGAACTTTACTTTAGAAAAGAAACTTTAGAAAAGTTCTGTCTGACGAGCGCTTAGGTGCAAAACTCAGAGTAACAGAGAATCGATGCGTCCTCTTTGATTCTTTCACTTAAATATACTCAGCTCTGCTACCACAGCATTGAACACTTTATGCTAAGGTAGACTTTACCCCTCACATTTATATATATATATATGTATTTATGTATGTATGTATGTATATTTATATATTGTGGGAGGAAAAAGACAAATAAACTACCAGTTCATCCCTACAGACCTGTTTCGTGGTTGCCCACTCATCAGGGGCAAATAGGGATTGGTCTGTAGGGATGAACTGGTAGTTTGTCTTTTTCCTCCCACAATATATACATCGCTCTAATCTTAGGTATTGAGCACTGTTTTATGTTTTAAGTCAAAATTTTATATGTATATTTATATGTGTGTGTATATATATATTTATACATAAGTTAAAGAATTAAAGAGGACGCCTCGATTCTCTGTGACTGAGTTTCTCTCCTAAGTGCTTGTCAGACAACTAAGGTGCAAAACTGAGAGTCACAAAGAATCAATGCACCCTCTTTAACTCTTTAACTTATGTATTCTTAGCTCTGCTACCACAGCATTGAGCACTTTATGCCAAGGTAGACTCTACCCCACATTCATTTATATACACACACACACACACACACACACACACACACATATATATATACATACACACACACATTTATATATATACATTTATATAATAAGCTCAGTTATGCATGCGTTTTGATTGGTTCTCACTTATGATCTATTGGAGGGCAGACGTATAGATGATGTCAGCATTAAAACTTTTTAAAATTCTTTATTATATAAAACAAATAGATTCCAAGTTGCCGTGCGTCTTTTCAGTAATAGATCACAGAGGACGTCAAAATGTGGTAAGAACATCTGACACACTCGGCTGCGCTTCGTGTGCCACTTTTTTGTTCTTACCACATTTTGATGTCATCTGTGATCTATTACTGAACAGATGCACAGCAACTTGGAATCTATTTGTTAAACATACATACATATATACATATATATACATAAAATAAGTATATCTGCATTCAGTAAAGAGTGATTGGATGGTTCAAGTCTTAAAGGTTGGTTTTAGATACTTAAGAAAAGCTTTTGATTCTGATCAATTTGCAGTCTATCCCTTTGAATCAGATGACAAAGACAGGGATGAGATTGAAAGTGGTTCATGGGAGGAGGAAGATGAGGAAGAAGAAAGTTCTGAAGATGAACCATCAGCCTCTGGTCCCAATCCAGCAGGTTGGTAGAATGTCAGATATTATCAATATCATTATAACAAAGAAAATCATCATATTTTTTAACTATTATTGTCATGACATCTTCCTTCGCCTTTGCTCTGTTGATATGACTTGGGTGTCTGTCATATTATTACTAATAATTACTATGACTGAATATTTGAAAGCCATGTATTTGAACTGTGGATAAAGACATCAATATGAAAGTGGTCTTCAACCTACTTCAAATCTGTGAAGTGGGTGGCTTGTTAGCTCAGTTGGTAGAGCACTGCACCAGTATTGCAGAGGTCATGGGTTGATTTAAATCCTGCTTTCATAGTCACATCTTTTTCTCCAGTTCAAATATATGACTTTCATTTATTCACAGTTGTTTATTCACCACTTCACGGGTTTATTTGGAACCAACATGATAACCAGCTCCCAGTTGGATTGTTAGCTCAGTTGGTAGAGCACTGCACTGGTATTGCAGAGGTCCTGGATTCAAATCCCATACAGGCCTGAATTTTTTTCAGGCCTTATTTTCACTACTGCTAAAGTATTATTCATTAATGCAAAGATCACTTTCATATTCAATTAATTACTTTATGATAATCACAATAGCTAAAAATAATCATTACTAAGTTGTTATTGGTATTTCTATTCTAGTAACTGTTGTTTGTTATTCTTATTGTCATCATGATCATTGTGTTTGACTTTGGGTAAACACAGCTGTAACCAGATAAGCAAAAGGCTGCAACACTGTTAAATTACTTCAAACACTAGTTTGAGTACATATCGGCCAAGAAAATTTGGAGATTAACTTGTATCTGTAAATGGCATATGAGTATGGCTGACATAGAGCTAGATTTGAAACATTATGAGCTCCTTTCATACTGGGAATATTGTTATCCTTCTACCGCAGTTATTTATATCTGGATTTGGTCAGGGTTGTTACAGGGTTGCAAATGAAATCCAGTTGCAAGGGAACTTTGTCAGTTACCTGGAAGGGTTTAATTGGCTGCTTTAATTTGTTAAAAAAGTCCAGGCTGAGCAGATGGTTAACATTAGTTGTAAGACATGATATCCTCGACAGTCTCTCTTTCCTTATTGGAAACATCTGTCTACTACCAAAACCTAGAGAGAAAACCCTGAGGTAGAACTTGGGTCAACTCCTTGGTATTGTTACAGTGTATTGACAGCACATTCACTGTTCCTGGGTTGTCTTTGTAATGTAACTTGTACCTATTTGTCCACGAGTCAGAGGTCTAAGAGTCCATGAAACAACTCATGTAAGTCTAAAGAGTCAAAAATAGCTTAATATTTATTTTTATTTCATTAAAATTTTCATACAGTGTTTTGACTCTAAAACATAGTCTTACTAATTTCCCAAGTATGTTTATTGCGACTCGCAGGTGATGACCAGGAGCTTGCCGACTTTTATGCAAGTCAGCAGCCATCTACAAGTGGATCTGGCAGACCACAGTGTAAGACTAATAATCAGTCAGTGTTGACTATTATCAACATCTATAAAATGCTCAAAATCTGCTTCCGTGCACTCTTATTGGTCGATTGGTGTGTTTAGTTGAGAGTTTGTAAGAAAATTTCGAGTGCTAATATTAACTAAAGCAACGGAGAAAAAAATTGCCATTTTTGATTGAGGTTTGGCTATTTTTTTTCCCCTCACTGAGCTCGAGGAAAAAAAGCAAAAGAAAGAAGAAATTAAGCGCTTTGCCTGCCTCTGTTTCCGTGAGCTGGACGACCTTGTCGAGAAAGCTCAAGCAAAGACGTAAATTTCATAAGATAAAATTTTCTCAGAGACGTTCACAGCGTAAGAAACTATCTAGACCTTAGTTATGATACTTGTTATCTTTCAGATTCAGAATGGGACAGCAAAACTACCCAAGGTACGGTGATCGATTCAACTTCTCAACCATGTCCTCGGGCAGCTAATTCGAGCAAGGTTTCGTCGCTTTCAAAAGCGATTAACCACAGTGACATTCATTTCCAGCTTAAATAAACTCCTCCTCTTGAAGTTCTTTTCCGAAGGAATCTTATATTTTTTAAACACACCGGTGTTTTTCTGTCAAATTTACGAGGATTCAAGCCGATATCGTTTCATTCACATAGTTCAGGCGCTTTCCATAAGTTTTAACTTGGCTCTGATTTTTACAACGCGAAATTTGATTAGTTTATGTGTCATTAGATGCGTGACTTGATCGGTTAGTAGGAAATACTATCGTCTCGTGTGTGTATTAAGGAAATGTATATCAATCATGAAGTAAATGACATTTTCCTTCGTTTGTCATGTGAAATATATTTAAGAAAAGCATCCTCGACTGAGTTTCAGATTTACATAACTTTCTCGACTCCTGCCGACCCCCCTCGTAACGATCGTTACAACTTGATATTGAACTTATAGTCAACCTATGACGTGACCATAAATAGTGCTGTATACTTTTGTCATGACTTGATGGCGACTGAGAAATTATCTTAAATTGTTTAACTTGATTTCCTGTCTTAAGTCAGCTAATGATTGCTTTTTATTTATGCTTCTCATTAACAATTAATTTGTCTTTGTAGTCAAACAAGGTACACCCAGTGTCGATGACCTGGAATATCTTGCCTCAAAGCTTGGTGATCTTTGGAAAAAGCTTGGGCGCCGCTTGAAAATCCTAGAACCAAAGCTTGATGATCTGAACAAATTAAACGAGGCTCTCTCTGAAAAGGGATATAAAATGCTCATGCATTGGAAGGAGGTAAACGGGTCAGCCGCAACGTACGAAATTTTGGGTCATGCCTTACTGGATAGGCTTGTGAATCGGCGAGATTTAGCTGAGGAATTTTGCTATGAGAAACAATAACGTTAGATTGTATATTTTGTATATATTAATTTAATCTGAATTTTGTGAGTATCTGATTTCTGATTTTTGGGTTTTCGTATCAGGCGCGGCACAAAAACGTTTTAGCCCGAGAGGTGATGACTAGTTGTTTACTATTCTGTGCAACTTTGTCGGACGGCATTAAATTCTCGGGCTCCTAGTTCGAGCTGCACACCCACTCTTGTGTATGAGTCGTGAATTTAAATAGGAACAGTACATTTCTTAAAGTGACCGAAACAGACTGGCTTAGTATCCATATCCACATTCTGAGAAACTTTTTCTACCCTCCGGGACACGGATTCACTGGTGGAATCGACACTAATTGTCACACTTAATGTAAAGTAATAATTTTTGTCTTAAGTTAATCTTAATTTTGTGAGTATATGATTTTGAAGGAAAATTTTGAAGGAAAATTTTTCAGCAGAAGATTGTCCCAGAGTCAAGTAATTTCTAACTTCCAGAAGTGATCAGCTGACTTGTGATATAAGTGTATCGTTCCTTCAATATAACTTTTAGATGCTCGTGGAACGACAAAATTATTTGTGTAAGGGCTGTGTTCGATGAAGTAGTACTATTTTTTTAGTGGCAAATTTTTTTCAACACCCTGATAGCTTGGTTTACACGTCCACTAAAACGGGAATAGTTTTTTGCGACTGCTATAGAGAGATATTATCTAGCAATAGTATTTTTTAAAAAGTGAACGTTACATAAGGTTTCACTCTAAAATAGTTTATGAATAGTTATACAGATCTGTTTTAAAATGTTTCTAGGAAATTATTAATTTTAGATAGTCATCATTGCAACTGCTGTTTTGTACAAAACATCATCTTTTTATTATTACACAAAATATCACTTTAGCATACTTACCGATAGTATTTGTAATTGTAATCTTAACTTTGTTCACTTCATTTTAAAACACAGTGGTTTTACAGAACCCACGTTTGAACGTCCTTTTATGTGTCTGTGACTGTACTGTAGAATCTCTCCGTCTTTCTCTTCAACCTGAGTTAAATCTTTTGGTCCAAGTGGTAATCCGTGGAAGGAATATTTTGCACAGGTATGTTCATGGGGAAATGCGTGCAGCCTTGCTTGATGATTGTGTGACTGCATTCGGAGTAGAAAGGGCGTCCAAAGGTTTTGTCTTGAGGTGTGTTTTCGAAACCTTTCAAATCGAACCTGTAGACCCCTTGATAGCCTGCGTGGCTAGAGGGTTTCTTTTCTCTTTGTTTTGTTTTTTTCAAGGTTTGATGAAAATTACGGTTGCGAAGCCGCGGTCTGGAGGATCGAGGAACTACGTATTTTTTACTGCCCAGACCCCTCGCGGCCTATAGTCCACTCTTCCCTATAAAAACGACATTGTCGGATTGAATGAAGAAAGACCATATTGATTAAGAAATTATTGTAAAGAAATAAGTGTAGTTACCTGATTTAGGCTTACAATGCCTTCTACAATAATCGCCGATCTCATTTTAAGTGAACCCTGTAAGTAAGCGGTTGTGCAAGTGCAAACAGGAAAGGAGGAATGTGTTCGAATTCCGTCGAAGCCGTTATTCCTTTCAGGCTTTTTTCAGCAATTGCTTTAACAGCAGCACATCCGCGAGGATCACTGCTGAACTTAATTTTCACCCGCAGGTCAAATGAACTTATTTCAATGAGAATTGTGAAATATTTTGGCGTAGTACATGCAGGAGCTCTTGGTACATGTTAAAAAGCAGAGACTGTTTCAAAGACATGAAAAAGAAAAAAAACCCACCATTATCCCTTAATATGCTGCAATCACCTTTCTGAGGACTTGAAAATTAAAATTTCTGGAGGGGCATGCCCCACTGTCCTCCTAGGATGGTCTGCCTTCGGCGAACATCCATCCGAACCCTCACTGAATCCTGAACTTTCCCCAAACGCACAAATTGTCTGTAGTTTTCTCAGGTTAAATTTATGTAATTCATGGGAATGATTATCAGGGTACTTTGATAACATTTTAATTCTCAGTTTCGATTAGGTACCACTTTGGAGAGGGTTCATTCATATCTAAGGCATATGTTCTAAACATTTACCGCCGCTTTTTTGTTATTATTATTATTTTTAATTGATGGCGCTGTGTCTCATGGGATCGATATGCTTAGAATAATAAGCGATTGTTCCGCAGCCTTAGCGACGCCAAAGATCAAGTATTTTCGTGGAGCTGGATTTGCCATCCAAGACGCAAACTTTTTACTTCTAAGTGAGGTAAGTAGTTTACTAGCCTTGTAACGTATCCACGATAGTCATGTCTTTTAATTGCTGCCTTCACTCTGTTGATTGTGCTAGTCAATGGAATGAACAAGTGTGAATTAATCCAGTCACGCTTCGACGAATTGTTCGACAACAATTAAGATAACAAAAGGCAACAATTCGGTTTGAAAAGTTTTTATCGGCAAGAGAAAGGCTAAAAGTAATTCAGTTCAACCTTTTATGTTGAAATCTGTTGCTCAATTCTCTTTATGCGGCACGATAACCCCTTAGTGCTGGGAATTTCACTTCCGCCTTTGGAAATTGTTTCTTAGATACACAACTGAGGGTGAAATTTAATTTACACTCTAGTAACAGCTTAGGCTTCTTGTGTCTGACGCTTAAATACTTCTAATAACGGTATTTAAGGCACAAAGACATCGATTTGAAGTCAAGACTCGGCAGACGCCGAGGCCACTGGCTTGGATTGCGAGACCGAGAACAAACTATTTACCCCAAACAACAACTAACAATTAGACCGTCGCTAGACTCAGATAATGGCTAAGTACTGTTAAAGACAAGAAAATATTGCGTTATAGTTGAGATGATGTACTCTTTTTCACATTCGTGTTAACGATGTGTCAGCATGTACACTGCAATTTTTTTTTTTTTTTTAAACCACAACGATCATACATCAAAATGTCCTCGTTTACATCTTCACTCTAATAAGTTTCTCCCCAGAACGAGGACCCCTGCTGTAAGTAAAAATCCCAGATCAAAAGGAAAAGTGACAATTTGGGGCTCACCACAAAGGCTAACGAGTTCAGATTCAAAAATTGGCGGGCCTACGGTTTTCAAAGGTTCCTTCAGCCACCCACCAAAGGGAGCCACAACCCTTCAGCTCTAAAGTTTCTTAATTAGCATGAGTGCTCTTGTGGGAATCACATAGAGACCTATGACTTATCTACCACTGCGGTGGAATCATACAAGATTGTGGGTATCTAACAGACAGAGAAAAATTCTTGATTTCTTCACTGTTCTTGTAACAACTGCTTGATTTGACAAAGGATAATAAGGTAGGAAGGAGCAGTGAGTGCTTTTGTATAAAATCATATTCATTTGGAAGCTGCAATGTAAGAATTTTTTTTTTTTTTAATCACTTACACAGACTAACGAGAGGCACCCTTGTAACATGAGCCCTGACCATAGGGTAGCCTGTGATGCTCATTAAAATCTAATCTGAATTGATATTTGTGTTTGACAGGGTAAGTGGTGTTCAAATATGGCCAATGAAGCTGAAAGAGATGCAAGTAATGGTGTCAGACCAAGCCCTAGTGGTTCTGTCATGAGAGTAGAGACAGCTGGAGGGAATAAGATAGAGATTAATGATGTTTGGACAACTAGAATATTGGTGACCGCCGTCTCTGGGACTGGAATTTATGTCGTAAAAAGTTTGGTAACTTTTTTCCGTGAGAATCCAAAATTGGTTACAGATGTAGTAAAATGGGCTTTTAAAGGTTGGGGTGAAGCTACAGTCAAGCCTGGGTCAATTATTGTTGACTTGGATTTTGGATCACAGGAGAAATTTTTAAAGTTTAAAGAAGACTTTAAGGATGGAAAAGTTAAAGATGCATTGGAGAGAGGGTTAGGAGAAATTGGCTACAATGCCAAACTGGAATTAAAACTTGTAAAGGAAAATCCTAATGTGGCTACAGTCGAAATGAGGTAAATGAGTTATTTTTATTTGATAGCTGACATGTATTGGTCTGTTAGTCAGGTGACTGGTTAGGCCTTCCCTTTATACCTTAGCAGGCAATCATTTTAGCAGGCAGTCACATTAACTTCTTTATTCATACCAGTTTAATCTTTTACCTTAATTTAGTACACCCTGAAATCAATGTGCATATTCTCCATACTGTTCTCTGTACATTTCCCAAAGTGGAGACAAGGAGAATTTGTTTAACAATCGAGAGCTTCTTTAGTTGTTGATCATTTCCTTTGTTCTCCTAACCTTAATGTGTGGTTTAGGGGTGATATTGTAAGAAGAAGTTAAATGCTAGATTAAATCACTCTTGAGGACCCCATGATTAATATTTTGATCTGTTGACGACACTGTGAGGATTGTTTTATTTGCCTTGATGTCTTCACCCTGTAGTACAAATGCATTACAGATCTCTATCAATTCTTTTAGATATACTCAGGACCTTTTGCAGGAAAGTTTTGCTCTTGCGTGGTGACCAGCTAGCTCCCACTGTTGGCTAAGAACACATTTTTGTTTCAAGCTCTCAATGAAAATCCAAGAAGTTATGTGACTAGCCACTAATCTCTTGCAAAAATACAAATTTCTCAGGATCAAAATGGAAGTTTAATTGTTCAATTTATGTGGATTTTTTTGTTTAAAATGTCATATTCTCATGCGAGATTCAGTATACTTTAAGAGTTCTTGTTAGCTGTGTTGTTTTATTTTATTTGTTAGTGTTGACATTTATCCATCATCACAATGCATTGACCTCCAGTGTTAGCAAAAAGAAAAAAATACTTACTTAATAGGTAAGAGCTATATTTTTTGAGTACATGGTTTTCATACAGTACAATGAAATTTTGCATTTTCAGCAAAGAAACTGTGATACGAGAGACCAAGAAAGTTTCATTTGCATATTCCAATCCTAGAGTTGTGTCCCATGGAGAAAGGAAAGAAGAAAAAGAGAGTGATCAGAAAGCCGGTGAGACATATGCTCTGTGAATGTTTATAGACCTTTATATAATACAATATCTCAAAAACATACACTACTGCATGATCTAATAGCCTCCAAATTCAGAGAAAGTACAAACTAAGTTGCTAGTCTGTATATAACCATGGATTTTTGTTTTGTAAAGGTGAACACATAACTTGGAATTGTTTAGAATACAGTCATGTACCTACAAATTGGTCTCTCATTCCCACCTTTTCCCTCTCAAACTTAACAAATTTTAATCTTGCATGGACATTTAATTACCAAACCAAGTATTGCAAGAGGCTGTGTTAATGTCACTGCAAGAGTCACTTATATTTAAAAAATAAAATTTGTAAAAGCAATTCTGACTATGAAAGGTTCTTCTTTTGACAGAAGTAAAAGAGAATCCAGAAGGGACAGACAACCCAGCTAAAGAAGACATTCAGTCACCCTCTCAAAAAAGCGTAAAGAAGGTACCAGAGACTTTTCATTTGCCAATTTTTGTTTCCTGGAAACAGAGAAAAGGTTTAAGTCAATGTAATTGTGAAATAAGTTGTCAAAAGAGAATCATTCTTGAACAGTATAGTGCTTAAAGGCCTTCTTAATTTTAATAGCTCTGTTAATATTTGAACATATTTATCTCAGAATCAACTGGATATAGTTATAGTAAGGTTGTATGAACCTGAAACAGGCATGTCTCTTTTAATTGTAATAGTTTGTGTGAAGAACTATAAGATGTTAGCTATTATATAAATAATAAGTTTGGACTATAAAGTAATAAACAAAAATCAACATTTTAACAAATCATTATATTGATGGTAATCATGCTAATGGAGAATACAAATAACTTAGGCCACCACTTAAGAGTGTTAGAGAAAATACATTGCCACTGACTAGAAGAGCCTGCTGTTTTTAACTAATGGCAGTTATTGGGTAAATTTTATTTCACTAGATCAAAATGAACCACTTATTGTCTAAGCTTGCAATACCAGGATCCATATCTTAGCCTGAAGAACAGGTGTAAATTCTTTTGCCTTTTTCAGTAGAATTGAGGCAAGCATGAGGCAGGCATGAAGTCAAGGGGAGGAGTTATTATTTGCACTCCTACCCTGTGCATGACTTATCTTCATTTGCCTGAAAAACGCAACAAATTATTCCTGTTCTGCAGGCTAGATCTCTTTGACCTAAGTTCTTCAGAAAAACCAGTTAGCAGGAGGAAATGCAAGCACAAAAATATCACATTTTTACCCTAACCTTTTCATCTCTCTTACTCACATACTAGCTTCTGGCTCCACTGAAGTTAAGCAAGAGGAGGAAAGTGGCTCAGCTGCAAAAAAACCTAAAATTGATCCTATTGGAGAACCTGGAACTTCTGGGGTATCCAGCACTAGTAAGACAAGGAAGTTTAAGGGTAAGGACAAAAGGAAAGTTACATTTTCAGTTGATAAAATTTCTTTACAGACTTGAAGAACCTTAAATCTCTCTCCCAAAATGGATTTTTTTTTGTGATAAATTGTTACTGACTCACAATCAGTTATACCCCCACTAGCTGCCATAATGTAAATCAACTCTGATCAGTTTTATTCAACATATTATACCTGATAATATGGGTAATGAGTATGTGGATATGTATTTGTACGCTTTTGAAATTGACCAGTCTTCCCAACAGGGCTCGATCACCTCAGGATAAATACAAACAATCTGGTCCCAAACATTGTAAATAAACACAGGGTGTAAAACCCCAACTGGCAGGAGGCAGGCAGCAGTTAGCTATATACAAAGAACAGCCAAGGAGTTGAACTCAGGGAACCATTAAGAACAATCCATTGAGTGGCAGGCTGAAGGGCTTGTTCTCAGGACCACCAGACTAACCACTTGGCCACCCTGCTTCCACAACATCTGATAGAAAATCTTCAGCATGACAGAAAAAAGCCTTTGCTCTTCTCTCCCCCCCCCCTCTGAAAAAGATTACTTGCAATGAATGATTTCAAAATTGTTACTGAGTCACAGTAAGTAACAAGTAAGCTGGTAATCTTAAAATAATTATCTTTCCATTTGTTTTTATATTCAAGAGGGAGTAGTAACTGATGATGACCTTCAAACACTTGGCAAAGAAATTGCTGACAAATGGGATGAACTGGCACGTCGACTTAAAATTACGAGAGCAGACATAGTAATAATTGATCACGATTTTAAGTCTTTGTCTAAGAAGGGATATCAAATACTGCATCTGTGGAAATCAAAAAATGGGGAAGATGCAGACTATAAAACTTTGTATGATGCATTAGCCCACAATTTGGTACAGCGGAGAGACTTAGCACAAGAATATTGTTTTGAATAATATCTCTTTGATGTTACTCATATCAAAACCTGGGAGTTAGTTTAAAAACAGACGGCCACTAGGTGGAAAGTATAGATAACTTTGCTGGTTACCAAGAAATTCCAGTTGGCTATTAATTTTAAGAATCTAGTGATTATTTTAACCTTGATTTACAGCCTTTTATTGATAGCCTTTTTAAAACATTTTTGGTGTGTTAATAATGGTAATTGGAATAAGTGGAGTGGAATTTTGGCTGCAATCATATGCATGATTTCAAAATTGAACCAATGTGAGTTCAATTTGAAATCAAAAGTATGATTTCAGACCAAAATTGCTCGACATGAGGTTCAAATACCACTTTATTACATCCATTTAAAAATCGCCCAAAAACTGGACTTGGTCAGTTCTTATATTTTATTGATGCAGTACTGAGCTGATTTGAAATTAAATTCATCCATTTTCTGGGGGGAAAAAATAAGAGTTTTGGAAAGTTTTGTTTTTGGTGTGACCTGCTCATTGGCTGGGAAAAGATGCGATTTAAAGCAAAAAATGGTGCAATTTGTGAATAAATTGTACCAATTAGAGCCAATAAGATTACAAAGAACACTAGTGATTTCAAAATGGGTGTAATAAAGCTGAATATTGCACACGCATTTGATTAGATCTATTGGAGGACAGACTCATATATAAGGTAGAGTATTTCAGATAAACTAAGCAGTCTAAGTTTTTTAATATAGGCCACTATATATAGTTTTTAAAAATAAAACAGAACTGCTTGTTTGGAGCATTTTGGCTAGTGATTAAGTTAGCGTTTTTGGATCCGCGTTTTTCATGATTGAGGAACGCAACACGTGCAGTCGTTCGTCATTGGTAATCACAACCTTAATTTGTTTCAGTACAAATCGGGCATGATAATAATGTTATTTTCCATGGTAGTATCATAGTTAACAAGTGTCTGCTTAGCAGCTTTCCTGTATGAAATGTAATGGAATATTTACCCGGTTATGAAATACATGGAGTGTATTCACTTTGAACGTTCAAGGTGTGGTGTTCCAAAACGTGTTTATGCACCTTACTTTATCACGCCTGGTCTAGGCAAAATCGACCTTGGACCTTGGGCCTTGACCCTCTGCCTCTTCCGCGGCCGTTTTTGATCATGACATCAAAAAATGCTTGTGGAAACACAGGTATCCCAAGCTCACACTTCGACAAAAAGCAAACTATTTATTACTCGGGCTTTCCAGAGGAAACGCCTGAGTTCAAATTCCAGCCTCGTTTCTTTTTCGTTCGGTCGCAAATCGCAGCCAAGTCCTTATCACGCATGCGCTACCTTTTGACTCTCACGCATGTGCGACGTTTTGACTAATGAGCACACGGCATGGTCTAATAGCGGACGAAGAGAAGCTTTCGCAGAGCAAAATCAGCACAGAGACTGTGTATAATACGCTCAAAACGCATACAAAATTTGCACACATCGTTTGCGGTAGACCCACACTAAAAGATGTCGAGCGTTTTCGGAACGGGTCGGTCCACGAACCTTATGAGAGATCTCTTTATGAACGAGCATTAATAAGTGAACCTTTCATCGAGAAACAGGCTTTATCACATAAACTGCGGCCCTGAGAAAAGCCGTATCAACACACTTGAAAAAATTTTTTAAAAATTTTTTTTATTTTTAATTAGGTGTGTTGATAAAGCCAATCAGCTGCTTACACGTCATACGCCTTTGGCGCCACTCGGTCAGATTGATGAATGAACGACATAGCCTTCACGATTCTCAATAGAAGTTGTTTGTCAGAGCTTTCTCGAATTATAGCGGCTGAAACACTAAAAAATCCGTATCACCGGTTCAAACTTGTCGAGAAGGGGAAGAAAACCAATATACCAAAAGAAAAACCGAAAGTTGCGTATTCGGTGGCTTTGGTGTTAGCATTTCTCTCGGCTGTGAATGAAAATCGACAACTAGAAGATTGGTCACCAGCCGATTTTGGCCGTTTATCTGAAAGACTTCTGCTGTTGTTAAGGACAAAGTAAATAAATAAGAATTTTGTAAATTGAAAATTACGACCATTGTTGTTTTTGTAATCATGATTCAACGCATATTTCCATCTTAAGAGTTGGCGCCAACGCACTCTGCGATTGTTATTCGAGGATTGTCCATTCATTTATTTTCATTTATTAATGAAGTCGGCTTTTCTTCCCAGTTGAGGGCCATTGTGTTTATATGATAAACAAAATAGGACATGGTTGCTTGTAGATATAGAATTTCTCTTCTCGTGTTCAACTCGTCATCTCACTCATGAGCTATCGAGTTAAACACTGGAAGATAAATTCCATATCTAAGCGCGTCCATGTATTATTCTCTATTTATCAATTGAACTAATGTTAATCGAGAGAATAGACGCAAATCTCATCGTGTTTGTAGACGTGATCGTGAACCAAGCAGAATACCAATACGAAGTTTGAAAAGGTTGAGGAACAAGAGCAGAAAGGTTAGAAAATTTGACTACGCATGTATTCTCTCATGTATTCCCTTGTCATCTACATTGTACTGTTATGTTAGTGCTAAAAAACTACTAAATAAGAGGATATTTAAGTGTAACTGTCGTGAAAGAATTCGTCAAAGTATAGGAAAGGTAAAATATCGTGCCAGTCGATATTTAACATTGTTTTCTTGTAACAAACTGATGTTTTCTTGCAAGAGTGAGGCTTATGTAGCAAATTATTGCTGCAGCAACTATAAATTAAGTGGAGACATAGAAAAAAATCCTGGCCCTCCCACATATGTTTACCTTAACAAAACAGTAATGTTGTGTTGCAATGAGTGTGTTCTTTGATTTACAATAGCACACAAGGGATCAGCTCTGCAAATGATCTTATTCAAATAATGAATATTGGAAATCAGCTTTTTTTTCATGTTTGTTACAATTAGCTAGACAGGCATATTTAATGCAGTCAGAATTACCAACAGCATTAAATGTGTTTGATACTGATTATCTGGAATACAGTGAAAGCTACTCTGGTACTGTTCACCAAGAAATTGCTATAGAGGGATATCAGTACTGTGTGTCTTTACGAAGAGCCTTTGAGTTGCTCATATCTGAAAGCTACACCAATTTCATTTTAACAGTAGGGTGTATTGCTGTTGCAACCTATTGTAATCTTTTTTTAGGTGACCATACAAAATACTGATGATAAGGAATTCAGCTTAAAAATGGGAGAAGAAATTCTCTCAAAATTGTTTGATAGACCAGACGTTTTAACATTAGATGAAGATACATTGACAGAACATTTGCTATTTATCAATGATGTAAAATTAACGTACGAAAAACACACTTTCTTAGTAACAAGTATCTGTTAGTTTGTCGCACATTTGTCTAAGTGATGAATTGTGCACTTTGACTACTCTCCTTTCATGTTAAGTTTCTGTTACAGTTGTCAGTTTTTATAAGATGTGAACATGATTCACAAATATAATTTGAACTTTGACAAACTACTGATTCCTTACAAACAAATTTAATTGTTCTTGTTGGACAACAATTTCTACTACTATACCCTTGAAATATTATGATCGTAATCAGTAGATATAAAGTCATATAAAAAAATATTAAAAACTATTTTAATCTTACAATATGCCTTTTTCCTCACTGCATATATACAGAATGAAAATATTTAGATAATTTTCATATGCAAATGAAAATTTGCAATTACTGTAGTTGGTAGACTCTAATTTTTTTGTTCATTATCAACTGCTACAAACTAAATAGTCATTTTTCATTCAAAGGCAAATGAAAATATTGGTTTTGATTAGAGTGATTTTAATAAGCCTGGGTTCTGCTGATTAATTACATTAATGTTTTAAGATGCTCAATGCTTTTTGAACTTTTTGTTTCTTTACATCTATTAGAGTGATATTCAATCGCTCATGAAATAAAGAAATGACTATTTAGTTTGTAGTAGTCAATAAAGAACAAAAGAATACAAAAAAATTCACAGTACACCACTAACTATTAATCACCCTATTCTTTCACGGAAAAATGAAAATTACTCTAAACAGTAACAGTTGATTAGTACTCACCAGGTTTGGTGAAACCAATCTAACCAATAAACCAAAAATTAGCAACTAAAAAGCATACTACCTCAGTAACTCCAAGTGAAAACAAACAAATTGGGAAGTAATAGTACAAAATATGCTAAAGTTTATTTCACACATTCATGAGAACCACTCCAACAACCCCATAAAATTAATAGTTCATCTGGTAATAACCTTTGGTGTGACTTCTTGTTTCCTTTTGGTTAAGTGTCATCACCCTAGCACTTGGGGCTGTTCATAATTAAAAGCTATCTCAGCCTGAAACTTTTGTCAACCAAGAAAAAGGAAACACAAGAAGACAGCCTGTTTGGCAAAAGACTTACCCCACTACAACCCTTAACCTGCAAAACAAACTTTAATCTAGTCAATACTCAAAAAAAAAAAAATTGAAAATAGTGTCTAGTAATAGGACAGTATTGAAATAGTAGCTGATTATATATATGGCACTACCTACCCCCACCCCACCCCAAGGGTCTTCACACTACACAACAAATACCGTTTTCAGCTCTGTATATATATGTCAGAAACCTGCATCTGTGGCATACCCGGATAAAAAAACAGTTACAGGATAAACCAATAATTGCATTAAAAAAACTTAGGCAAATGCAAGCAGGAAAAAAACGAAGTTTATTCCCAACAGAAAGCCTGGGTGAACACAAATATGCGTCTAGTTTATTAAAGTGTTACGCGCTGTGTGACGATACAATAACTGGCTGATGAAATGATACTTTCCTCTCGCTTGCCTTCGTCCATGGCGGCAGTACAAAACACTCCTCAGCCGTGAGTGACTACATAAAGTTTTGGGGCAAACAAAAAAAACTTCCAGTGGGGCCTGCGCTCCATTATGTCACGCAAACTCTATTTTGAGGTACTTTGGTATTATCAACTAAGTTGATGGCGTAAATTGGTCACCGTTAAAATTTTCAAAGCTGACGTTTCGAGCGTTAGCCCTTCCTCAGAGCGAAATGTTCCTCCGTTATTCGCTTTGATGTTTAACACTCGAAACGTCAGCTTTGAAAATCTCAGCGGTAGCCAATTTACAGTCTCTCAGTTAATAATACCTAATTACCTTTCTATACCTTCCCATCACGCAGCACCACAGTTTCTTCAGAAATTTCCCCCTTCATTCATTATGCTTTATTTTACCTTGTCCTAATAACAATTAACATATTATATTTTTGATCTTAATTGATTGATTTCTTTTTCAAAACTTTTTTGTTCGATCCTTGGTCCGTTCCGATCTTGATGTGGTCGACGCCGCTCACTTGGAGAGGTTTAAGCCATTTAGGATCTTTAGATAATAGTTAACTGACAACTGACAAATGGCCCCAAGTCTAACAGACAACTGACAAATGGCCCAAAATTTAACTGACATATAGATAAAATTTTAACTGACAAGTGACATTTCCGCCTCTGCCCCCCCTCCATCCAGACCCTCATAGTTTCATCAATGGGCTTTTATCTCAAAATTCATCCATCCCTATGACAATGCATACCCACGAACTGTCACCCACCCTGAGCTCAAGTAATGTGAACCTACAGCGATTTGGGTACGGCGGAATTCGTACAACATCTAACCCAAGGACTCTTAATTGGCGGCCTTTAACTCCGTCCCTTTTGGCACAAACCTCGAACCATTCACATCTCCGTTCCTTTATACACGAACCTCGAATAAGGTAAATGAGTGTGACTAGCCAGCACTGTCCGGTATGGGGAGCCATTTGCGTTCCCCATACCGGACATGTCCGTATGGGTGTTGAATTTTGCGATGTCGAGGCATTTAAAGTAAAATAACAGCATTTTACTATCAGTAGATTTGTTCGGATGGGATCACCCACTGACCTACCTTGGAAACAACTTATATGAAGAATGCCAAGTAATCTCATGAGATTCAAAGGAACAAATTCTAAAGCGTGATTGGTAAAGGTTTTTGTTCAAAACTAGGTCAAAATGTTGGGTTAAGAAGGCGTCGAGCTTCCATTCCCATACAAATGCCATGGCAGATCGTCCAACTGTGCGAAATAACTTGATATTAACAACCATTTTGCTGAAGATTATATGGTGGATAAAGCAGCAGAACTAAGAACGACCCAGATATCCTTAAATTCGCCCAGAAAACTCCCAAGGTGCAATCGACCAACCATAGAAGTATGGCAATTTTGTTTTTATACAAAACCAGGAGTCCATTAATAATGGTAATGGGCTCCTGACAAAAATAAAATTTTTAAGTGAAGGATGCGACCTTTTTTTCCCCCATTCTTGAACCATAGCGCAATATTAAAAATGTTTGTATATCTTTGGAGGCTCATCGTGTAAGGCTGGGCTACCTTTGATTTAACAGAATGACACTTGGTCACTTTACTGTTTATTACACCCATTTTGAAATCCCTGGTTGTCCTTGTAATCTGATTAGCTCTAATTGGTGCGATTTATTCACGAATCGCACCATTTTTTGCTTTAAATTGCATCTTTTTCCATGCTAATGAGGAGGCTTCACTAAAAACAAAACAACCAATCAGATTTCAAGGCTTGTTTAAAGTAACCAATCAAATTGCAGGAAAATGATAGACAAAGCGTATCGTGAGGCAAATTTTGCTACTTATGTTTCTAAAACTCTTATTTTTCCCCCCCCAAAAATGGACGAATTTAATTTCAAACGGGCTCAGTACTGCATAAATAAAATATAAGAACTGACCAAGTCCTGTACTTGGGCGATTTCAAAATAGATGTAATAAAGTGGAGCCTCGTGTCGTGCAATTTTTGTCTAAAATCATGCTTGTGATTTCAAATCACGCATATGATTTCAGGCCAAATTGCACTCCACTCAGTTCAATTACCATTATTTACTGACTTCCTTCACCTGAGACTTACAGTGCGCGCACAAAAGCTTTTTCGGAAGACACCTGTGAAAGTTTGGAGGAACATTAAAAAAACACTGTGGTATTGTCTCACTTCCACAACCGGAGATGGCGAGATTTAGACAATAATATGCGAGGAGGCCCTATATTTAGCGCTGCAGCACGAGCGTGCCTTCGCCCGCGAGAAAGTTTGAGGATTTTAGCAATACGGGGCGGCGGGAAGTTTTAGAGGGGTCTGGCATGAATAATTTGCCAGGAGAGGGAATGGTGAAAAGTTGTTTCCACACCGTTGGGCACCGTTGCATTTTGGCGCTCAAAGTATCACATTACGTCTCTTTCTCTCTCTTCTTAGCATGGATGAGTTACGGCTCTTTCCTCGACACTGAGGTCTTCAGGGTAAGTGTTATGCTCACCAAATTTCTATTGTGATAATTTTACGTTTTTTTTCTCACAATCGTTATTTCTTATCCCTCTTGAAAACTGCGCGGTAAACCGTTGCATTCCACGTGCTCGATTTCAATGCCTAATTATTTGTGTTTGGTAAAATTTGTGCACAGCCTCATACTATTGTAAAACAAATCTGTTTTCCCAATGGCAATGTATTGTTTTTGTCATTGTTTTCTCTATCCAAGAACTGATTGCATGATGTAGTATGGGGCTGTGCGGAAATTTTACCTTTGTGTTTATCAGATTGTTTATCTTACGTTTTTTCAAAAGTACTTCATATTAGCGGTTCTACATTTTAAATGTAGATATGTCAATAAGCGATTTCTAGCAAGAAGGATGTAGCGCCTTGAAGGGCAAGATTTCCGCACAGTCCACTGATTCTGCGTTTTTCCACAAAGTTCTTGCATAACGGAAACGCACTAGCAAAAATAGTAGATTGCCTTTGGAACTTCTTTACGGCTTTGTTTCAGAATATTCTGGGGCTATGCAAAAATCTTTCCTCTTTTCGTACAAACGCTAAGGAGAGATGTTGTCTTCGAGCATATTCTACGTCAAAATTGCTTTGCCAGCGTTATAACTAACGGTTCGGCTTAACTATTGTGTTAATCCAAGTAAATGATCAATTTTCAGTTCTCTGGGTTAAAGCCCACCTGTGTTAGCTAAGGGATTGTCTGTTATATCAGCTAACTTCTAACATCTGTTATATCAGCTAACATCATGTCAGCTAACGTTATGTCCTGGCAATTACTGTGGGAATTGCAAAGGTGAGACTTAATGAAATTTACCTCAACTCAGCTAGGATCCTTGAAAAGAATTTGTCTGGGATTGTGAGGCTATTACATGTATATCTGACCTTCAAAATGCTCTTACTGGAAGAAGTTTCCATTTATTGAAACAATCTTTCCCTTTCACTGATTAAATTGTTTTAAATCACATACACATTGTAAAACTCAAGCTAGACATACAATGTTATAGTCTACTGACCAAAAAATACTCTTTTTCATTATAAATATGTGCATGAGTAATGATAATAATAATAATAATAATAATAATAATAATAATAATAATAATAATAATAATAATAATAACAATAACAATCAAAACTATAACAAAATTCTCAAACATGGTTGGTTAGCACCAGTCCTATTTGAGTACCAATAGGTCATGCCTGTGTTTGTGTCACATGTGTGCTGTTGTTGCACTTTTTGCTAAGTTATCTGTTGTTTTCTATGAAAAGGTATAACCAAGGGCTAGTTTGTTTCTAGAATGTTGTCATAGTTTTGATTAATTGGTAACAGGACTTCAAGCTGTCCAATTCTGTCTCTAATCATACTTGTGATTAACAAATTTGTCATTCACTTCAAATTCGTCATGGATTTTTCGGTATCACTTTCACAACTAGACTTCATCAGACCCCACTTAGTCCTATCATCATTATACTTATAATGATAACCAAAGTGATAACAATAATGATGAGATACTTGAGGTTAAGTGAATTTTCTACAGATGTTTCATGTGTTCCCTCGATGAAATGAGTAAAATCTTAGGAACTTTTTAGTTGTAAATATATAGAACTAAATTTGTGAATGATGGTGTAAGAAAGAATTTGTTTTTAGATCATGTTTTAAAATGTAACTTAATTTATTTACTTGAATAAGCCCCCCCCCCGAATATGTGCAGCATCACCTTTGCAGCACTTATTCTATTAATTTTTTCTGTCGTGAGCTGCAATGACTCATGCACATTCTGATATCTTAAGGCAATTAGAAGCAAATCATTTTGAATTGGAAAGTGACAACAGGCTGACTGCTCCTCGAAAAAGACGGAGAGGTATGTAAACATATTTGCATTGTTATAAAGCCTGGAACTTTTGTAGTAGGGTTAATCTGTGGGTTTCTTGTTAGTTTTCACAAGCAACAGTTTGAATCTCAGTTGGAGGTGTATGTTAGGACCTTGTGACAAACAAAATTTCAAAAATTTTCTAGATTTAGTTGTACTTGTGAATGTGGAGACAACAATTTTGATCAAATTTTTATAAGATTTCCTGTAAGAAAAAACCTAAATTATGCCTTACAGAGTTGTAAATGTATAACATGATCATTCTCCTAAATTAATGGGGCTAAAAGAAGTTTTGAAGAGTTAACCCTTCAACTCCCAGATCAAATTTGTAATTCTTCCTACTGTCAATAATACAATTATTATAATGTCACTTCAGAGAATTAAGTATTGGATCAACTAATTATCTCCAAATAGATATTTTCTTTCATTCTCATCAATTATTTGGTTGATATTGTATTGATAATGTAAGGAGAAATTCTGTCTTGGTCACTCATGGGAGTTAAAGGGTTAACACTTAAGACTACATAATCTGACTGGTAATCCTTCACATATATAAATAATAGTCAGGACCATGTAAGGGTCTCATTTATCAGCCATTTTACTGGTGTTGTGTCCTACTTCCTCTCTGTCAAAGATTTGTTAAATACTCTCTCATGTGGTCAAATCAAACTAGTCTGAATTTGTTCTGACCCAAAATTACTACACTGTATTACTACATTCACTTTTTATCTGAAAGTTTAGTTTCTTTTGTACTTAGTGGGTCTGGAATCTAGTGATTCCAAGAGCTCAAGTCCAGAGACAGATGACTCAGTTTCCAGATCTGATGGGAGCTCAGACACAAACACAGACAGTTACACAGAGGAAGAGAACTTTGGTCTTATAGAGGAGAAACCTATTCTAGCCAAACAAAAAGGTAGAGCTGTGTATATTTACATGTATATAATGTACATGTTGCTTACAAAGGCATGTCATCACAATCAGTTTGTTTAAGCATGCTTCACAATCCAATCATTCTTTAACTACACTCAAAGGCATTATGAAAGCAAAAAATTAATGCCAATTTGATTTGCTTTAATATTTTTTAATTCTGGGAGAGTTTTGGTGTAACCTTCGTTGTAGATTTCTGAGTTTAAAATGTCATTGAAATTAATACTAAATGCATCTTTTACGTCAAAAGGGTTTTGTTGCTGGCTAAGTCTATTTAAGAGTAAAAGACCTATATACAATGAAAACTAATGAAAAAGCTCAATTATGGTACCAGAGACACATAATTTGCCTCCTAAATTTCACCTGAACTTTTTGAAATAACTTTTGTAATTCACTCCAAGGTATGAATTATTTGTTTATCAAGAGTCAGTTAGAGTCTGTTACAGTTCCTAAGGGCTGTAGATAAAAACTTCACTATTTTGGAAATTTAGCCTGAAGGTAGAAGAGGAAAAAACTGGTGTAAGGCTAAGTGCATGTTTGTGCTACATGTACACATAGCTACCTGCTCTCTTGCACCAAGACCCATGTGAAAGATATGCTCTTAGAGCTCTGATATATGCTCTCAAAAGCTTTCAAAAAGCAAGTTTTACATTAATTGTACAATGACATAAATAAGTTGCCTCACCTCTGGTACCAGGGCTCTATAAGAACATGGTCATGCTTTTGTGGGTAGTTAATTTATAGTGCTAATTTCCAGATTTTATTTCAGAATTAACTTCCAATTTAATCATAAAGTACTTCGAATAGTCAATTTTGCATGTGCACAATTAGATGCCAATTAACAAGAATGTGGTTGAGAGTGCCTTTCTCAGTAATAATTTGTTATACTAACCTTGCTAGGTCTCTTGTCTCTTTTGTAACAAAGTTAACCTTAGCTTTTACCCTCAAACAACTCTGAAATGGACTATTCTCAAACACAACGAACCTTACAAGTCCATCAGTGAGCTGTATCAATTTAGTTTTCTTTTTTAAGTATGTGAGATATTGTAAGCACTGAACTCTTGTTAACCTTATCTATTCAAGTTTCCAAGAACACCATCACCAAAAAGCAGACAGCTAGAGCTTCCAACACAACAAATAAAATGGAGAAGAATGAAAAAGGTAACAATTTTTGTTACATCATTTATGGCTTGTTCCAGGCTCAGATGGTCAGTGGAGACAAAAAGAGAGCACTGAAGGTTGCTATTTGCATGCTTAGTTTCCCCATCCACTGATTAAAAGCTTGGCAAAGGCTAGTTCCTTTTTTTTAAAAATTATGGTCATTAAATACAGTACTGTAATAATTCAATGAAATAAATCTTTAGATAAGTTATTTTCGTTATTCATTGCATGCGGGTTCATGAAGAAGTAATTGCAGTTTTAAGATGGAACACCAACTGACTTACCTCAGTATAATAGCACATATTCAAATTATTAGTGCATGCATGCCTGTTCTTGGCTTTGTCTTACATTATGAAGCAAAAGTATTTTGGAGTTATGACATTTGAATAACAAGCACAATGTTGCCATTCTTGTGTGAAGAGCTCAGTACAAAAAAGTCACAGAGGTAATATCATTGGTAATGAGAGAAACAGTTTCTTTAGTTATGTGTAGTTTCTGTTTTTGTGTGTGTGTGTTTTTTTTTTACCTAGTTTGATGTTGTGTTTTTATATTCAGCTATGTGCCATTATTTAATTATGCTGGACTATTTTTTAAGGTGCATCTGAGGAAATTCCGGCCAAAAAACCAAGGAAAAGAAAGATTAGCAAGGAGAATACAGGGAAAGGTAACTTATTTATAAAGATCAGTACTATTAGATAACTTCAAGTCAGATTAAATCCTTGTATAGGACTTTGTCTATAATGGTAATTGAACTGAGTGGAGTGCAATTTGGGCTGAAATAATACGCGTGATTTCAAAATCAATTGAGCGCATAGCATGAGTTCGATCTGAAATCACAAGTATGATTTCAGACCAAAATTGCACGACACGAGGTTCAATTACCACTTTATTACGTCCATTTTGAAATCGCCAATTCATGAATAAATTGCACCAATTAGAGCCAATCAGATTACAGGCATCACCAGTGATTTCAAAATGGGTGTAATAATATTTAATAATGTTGCTTCCAGATTCCTAAAAAATGCAAATGGGGGTAGTTGTAAGACAGGAGCTAATGGTCAACAAGTTGTCAACAGCATATAGGAGATATCTTTAGCAGACATGTTTTGCTGACTTACATTGCATTATATTAGAGATGAAGTTTTACACAAAGTTGATAGGGAGAATAAATTCTGCATCATTTTAGGAGATTTTAATCTTGATTTTCTTAAACTGGATTCTCACCCAGATACAGAAGGTTTTTAAATATTTTGGGGTCCTTCAGCTTTCAACCTCATATTTTACAACCTACTTGAATTACTGACCACTCAAAAACTCTAATTGACAACATTTTCTTCAATTCTTGGAACACCTCACATTAAGTGGGAATATTGTTTATGATGTTACTGATCACCTACCTAATTTTCTTATTATTCAAAAATTCACTTCTTCACCTATCAATGTAAAAAATTGCAAGCAGTTTGGCTTCTGTGCAAAACACTCAACGGATCATGCTATCCTAAGCATCATTGACTTGATTCAAAATGCAATTGACTACCAGGAATTTTCTTGTGGTATATTTTTGGATTTCAGTAAAGCCTTTGATATTGTAAATCATAATATCATGATTGAAAAATTAGATTATTATGGTATTTGTGGTGTAACCAAAGATTTGTTCATCTCTTATCTTACCAACAGATATCAATATGTATCCTAGGGGCAAACTGAGTCTCAACCTCAACCTGTCTCTTGTGGTGTTCCTCCAGGCTCAGTTGTTGGCCCACTATTATTTCTTGTATATATATCAATGATTTTAGTAACTGCTCTGAAATTCTAGATTTTCATTTATTTGTAGATGATGCCAATCTGGTTTACAAACACAAAAATTTTACAATCCTTGAATCCAAAGTAAACAATGAACTTGTAAATATTCATACTTGGTTGAGTGCTAACAAACTTTCACTTAATATTGATTAGTTGAACTTTGTCATTTTCCACTCTCCACAAAGAAAGTTACCCTTTCATGTCACACTCTCTTTAAATGACATTTACTCAAACCAAGAGTACTCAATAAAACATCTAGGTATTATAATAGATTCTAATTTATCTTGGAAAAGTCAAGTAAGCTATATTGCTGAAAAGATTAAGACATTGTAAGCACTGAACTCTTGTGAACCTTATCTATTCAAGTTTCCAAGAACACCACCACCAAAAAGCAGACTGCTAAAGCTTCCAATACAACAAATAAAAAGGAGAAGAATAAAAAAGGTAAAAACTTTTGACACATCACTTAGGGCTTGTCCCAGGCTCAGTGGAGGCAAAAGGAGAGCACTGAAGGCCGCTATTTGTATATTTACTTTCTCCATGCACTGACCTTTCCTAGGTCCTAGTTTGTTACTTTTTTAAGAAATAATGGTCATTAATTGATTTAATACTTCAGTGGAATAAATCTTGAGATGAGTGATTTTCTTTATTCATTGCATGTGGGTTCATGAAGAAATAAAGCAATTGCAGTTTTAAGATGGAGCACCAACTGACTTAGTTCAGTGATAGCATGTTGTCAAATTATTAGTGCATGCATGCCTGTTCTTGGATTTGTTCTTCATTATAAAGGAAGAGTTTGTTGGAGGTATGACATTTGAATAACAAGCACAACTGATGTTGCCATTCTTGTGTGAAGAGCTCATTGAAAAAATCACGGAGATAATAATATTATTATTGAAAATGAGAGAAACAGTTTCTTTAGTTATGTGTAGTTTCTGTTTTTATTTTTTTATATCACCTAGTTTGATGTTGTGTTTTTATATTCAGCTGTGTGCCATTATTTAATTATGCTGGACTATTTTTAAGGTGCATCTGAGGAAATTCCTGCTAAAAAACCAAGAACTCAACCTATTAAAAAAAAGAGTAGCAAGGATAATACAGGGAAAGGTAACTTATTGATAAAAATGAGCATTATCATATAGTGTAGCTTCAAGATTAATTCCTTGTATAGGATCTTGTGAATATATGTAATTATGTTGCTTCCAGATTCTTAAAAAAGCAAATGGGGGGAGGTGGGGTAGTTTTAAGACAAGAACCAATTGTCAACAAGTCATCCACAGCATATAGAAGAAATCTTTAGCAGACATGTTTTTCTGACTTACTTACATTGCATTGTATTAGAGACAAAGTTTTACAAGTGATGTACGGGTAATTGACTTTGGCTTTTCTTTGACTTTGTTTGGTCTCCCATAAAAGCTCTGAGAGAAGTTGTCCTTTTTTTTTTAAACAGACCTATCAAAGAGCTTTTTAATCACATTTAC